TGATCAGTATGTCACCATAATGGCACACAAACAGTGTGCAACACTAGTCATCAGGGCAATGCAAATTAAAACTACGGTGAGTTATCACTACATACCCAACAGCATGAATAAAATGAAAAACACTGAAAATAACCATTTTGGGGGAAGATGTACAGCAACTGATGGGAATGTAAAATGTTACAACCACTTTGCAAAATACTTTGTTAAAAATAGCAATTCAACTTGTAGAAATTTACCCAGGATAAAAGAAAACATGGTTACAAGAACTGTACACATGAATGTTCATAGCATCTTTACTAATAATAACTAAACAACCTAAATATCCATCAACAGGTGAATGAATAAACACAAAGAAACATAGATGAATCTCAAAAAACATGCCGAGTGATCATTTGGAGCTGGGGCCCAGCAGTCTGTTTTAACAAACCGTCAGATAATTCGGATGCATGCTGAAAGTGTGAGAACCATGGAATTAGCCAATCAGAATTTAAATTAAATTGCCATTTCTTTTGGTCACCTTGCAGCTGATCATCTTTTTGTTAGGAGGATCTCCCTACTTGAGTCTTGGTGGATGACAGAATGTCTTCCATTATAGCAACTTAAATGGTAGATGTTTGCTTTCCCAGCCATAAAGTCTTTCACGTAAGTTAATGGCATAAAAGGGGAAACGACAGATCTCTCTCTTTTCAGTAAAGGAGGGGGCAGCAAGGTAGCCTAGTATAGAAGTGATATTGGTGCTGGAAGTGGGGACACTACAGTACGGAGGAGTTTCTGAGGCAAAAGCACTAATTAAAATATCAAGTGCCTGATTGTGATGTCAGGGATTCATTATCAGACTAGTTCATGGCATGCTTCTGGACTTATTTCAAGCCCGGTTCTCTAGACCTCCCATAGATAAAACCAAAAACCAAACCCGTGGCTGTCGAGTTGATTCCCCATAGGACTTCCAAGGAGTGGCTGGTGGATTTGAACTGCCAACTTTTCAGTTAGTAGCCATAGCACTGTGCCACCAGAGCTCCCTCCCATAGATAGTGGGGGCTTAAACAATGTTGGTGTATAACTGTAGGAATTCAGATTCCCTCTACCTCAAAACTATATTATCTCTATGATGTGGTTTTATATTCCCAGTCCAATATGGCACCTAGAGCTTGATAATGTTGAATTTTACACAAGCCCTGTGATCCTGAAAGCACTACCACTCTTTTGTGTTCTTAAAAATGGTTGAGCATGACAGCATTGACATTCCCCTTAATTTGACTAAACTTTAGGCAGGCTTCTTCCTGACTCTAGGCCCTAGATCTCTTTCTCTGGCCCTTACAGAATCTAGATGGAATCTGTCCATCTGCTCTTAACAGTAACATCAGGAAATAACTCCATGTGATCAACACACCCCATTGCTTAACCTCCTCTTATGTCCTTCAGTACTTCAGTTATTTTTCTACTAACACACTTCAGCCTTTAAAACCCTTCCCGACTTCTGCTTCAGCGGAGTAGGAGCTCAGACTTAGTTCTGGTCTCTCTCCCCATTGTGATGCTCTTTCCTTCTCCTCCATTACCATAATCCTTTCTGTATAAATCATCCTTGTCTGTTTTAACACTGTCCAGCATGATTTTTCCTTGACAAGCTCCATCTATCACAACCTCATTCCAGGCAGAATGTTAGAAAGGTGAAGATGATACAAAGTGTATCTTTCAAGGTGCCACATGACACTTTTGCTAACATCTTATTGGGAAGCATTTAGATACATGGTCACACTAGGTGCAAACAAGGCTGAGAAATGTGGTTTTTATTCAGGATGATCATGTACCCAGTTAAAAAGATCAGATGTGGTTATTTCTATGGAAAAAAAGGAGAATGAATAATGGGGACAACCAGTAATCTCTCCCTCACATAGTCAATTAATTGTCAATCTTAAATGAAAACAAACCCTAGCAAAATGAACATTTACTAATATGGAATACGTTTTAGTTAGCAAAGATGTCTACACAGTTGTATTTTCAAAATTAGCTGAAATAAACTGCAATAATAATCCAAACTCCACTTTCCATTTCCCAGATATCCCTTGGTAAAACGTTACTCTTAATACTTGTAACTACATTAAGTAGTCCATTTCTTGTACCTTAGGGAGAAACATACCTGTTGCCGCTGCGTCAATTCTGACTCATAGCGACCCTATCAGACAAAGGAGAACTGCCCCACAGGGTTTCCAAGGCGGCTGGTGGATTTGAACTGCTGACCTTCTGGTTAGCAGCCGAGCTCTTAATCACTGCACCACCAGGGCTCTAGGGAAATATAGGCGCTGAAAAATTGGTATTTCTTTACTTTTTGCTTAAGATCTGAGGACAGAGAGTCAGAGTGAGCATGAGATTTAAATAGCATGACTTTCCATCTGTTACAAGGCCCACAGGTTGCAGAATCTGCCAGGTAACCACAGGGTGGGAAAAATGGGGCCATGGGTGATACACAGAGAAAAGCCGAGGCACCCCTTCTCCTTCAGCACCCTGGCACTACTTCTTCTGTAACTGTGACAACTCTCAGAGACGAAAGATAAAAGAATAACAGGGAAATGCTTCAGGCTAATTAATTTCATTGCTACTCACATTTATAGCCATAGGACTCAAGTCTCAACATCCAATAAAGCATCATTAAGACAAAAAAAAAGGAGACTGCCATGTTATATTCAGGAACACAATTGGAAGAGCAGTCTCTGAGCTATCTCTTTTGTGCACCTAGCATCAGCCTCTCTACTTCTGCTATCTACGTTAGTTTGTTTGCACACAAGATGGGTTTAAAGAGATGGCATTAATCTAAGAAATCAATCTCTGCCCCTAAAGGGAAAGGCACATATTAATATTTTGTAATAAAATGCAAACAGATGTGCCACTGCTTTATTACTTACAGTTTGCAAACTATATACAGATATGATGACTACCTGTACCATACTTATTCAATCCATATGTTGAGCAAATAATCTGAGAAGCTAGACTATATGAAGAAGAATGCGGCATTAGGATTGGAGGAAGACTCACTAACAACCTGCAATATGCTGATGACACAACCTTCCTTGCTGAAAGCAAAGAGGACTTGAAGCAGTTACTGATGAAGATCAAAGACTATAGCCTTCAGTACGTGGATTACAACACAAAGAAAACAAAAATCCTCATAACTAGACCAAAAACATCATGATAAATGGAGAAAATATTGAAGTTATCAAGGATTTCATTCTACTTGGTTCTCAATCAACACCCATGGAAGCAGCAGTCAAGAAATCAAACGACACATTGCACTGGACAAATGTGCTGCAAAAGACCTCTTTAAAGCGTTCAAAAGCAAAGATGTCACTTTGAAGACTATGGTACACAGACCCAAGCATGGTATTTTGAATTGCCTCATATGCATACGAAAGACAGAATAATTGATGCCTTCAAGTTATGGTGTTAGTGAAGAATACTGAATTTACCAAGGACTGCCAGAAGAAAAACAAATCTGTCTTGGAAGAAGTACAGTCAGAATGCTCCTTAGAAGTGAAGACAGCAAGACTTTTTCTCATGTACTTTCAACATGTTATCAGGAGGGAACAGTCTCTGGCTCTCATGCTTGGTAGATGGTTAGGGAAAAAGAGGGAGGCCCTCAGCAAGGCCGACACAGTGGCTGCAACAATATGCTCAAGCACGGCTCATCATCGATTGTGAGGATGGCACAGGACCGGGCAGTGTTTTGTTCTGTTGTACATAGGGTTCCTGTGAGCCAGAACTGATTCCATGGCACCTAACAACAATATATACAGGTATGTGTTGCTTTATGTCCAGGATAGTTCTGTGAAATAGGACATTATATGATTTGGATGTTGTGTGAACACCTGGGTCCGTGGGGCACAGAGCTCCTGGGTGCATGGCCTGGGGGCTGCTGTGGGGCACATGGCCTGGGCAGCTCCCACTGCTAAGCCTCAGGTGAGGGCTCTCAGCTGGGTTGCATCTGGTATGTGGCCCCCACAGCCCCTTGAAGGTCATGGAGGGGTGTCTCTGGGTACAGGCCTGGAAACAGTGTTGTGGTCTTGGCCAACTGGTGCCCCCACCCTGGTTGGGCCTGGGATGCCTGCAAACCTTGGGCGCTCAGGAGCAAGATCGGGCTCCCACTCCTCCTAGTGGCCGGGGTGCCTGATCCAGTGGGTAGGTATTCAAAATATAAGCAGTATGTTTAAACTGTCACAGAGCCAAAGTGTCACCTTAAAGCAAAAAGAAAGCCAGGGGAAAAAGGAGAAATCAAAAATCATTCAGGGCCAGGGTGGCCTCATGCATACCAATAGTTTTTGTCATTTATGGCTAGGCAAGATTTATGACTCAGTGCCCCAAGCTGTATACAGAACACAGAACAGCCCCTGCTCCTTATGGCGTATCATGGCCGCACAACATGGGAAGAGGAGCCGGGCTGCTGAAGAGGCAAGAGTCGGCCCTAAGAATCGTTCGCCAGCATTTTCTTTTCAAACTGGCTTGGTTAGATACGGCATTTGAAGAAAGGCACGGGTCAGTTACCAACTCGGACTTTCTCCTCCAAACTGCTAACACAACTGTCGCCACTCTGCTAAGCCAGCTGCAGGGAAGGCCAGCTCTCCTAGGAGAACCTGCCCAGGGCGGGGGCAGGTGGCTAAGCTGGGAGCCAAGCGGGCCGAAGGTGCCCGAACCAGGACTGGGGTTCCAGGGGCACATACATTTCCATTGGCACCCTACAGGGCCACGCCAATCAAAAAACAGAGACTAGACCCATCGAGTCGTGGGAGCCGAGGGAGACCGGGGTAGAGAGTCTGGGCCTGGGCCTCCATTGCAGCGGACTATGTAGCTTCCAGGCTGTGCACAGCAGCTGGGCAGAAGTCAGGCTCTGACCTCAAGACAAGGGTCTGGCGTCCTGGCACTCAGACACCTGGGTAGACAATGCCCAAACAGACATTAAGAGAGGCATATCTGTATGTGTGTATATATATATATATATATATATATATATGTCATTTGGAACAACAAAGTCTTCTAGGAAAACCTGTCCTTTTTCTTTCTTTGCACCATTGATTTCTACACCACTGATAACCACCTAGGCTCTCATACATTAAATGTATCACTTATGCAGGTACTGGACAAATTTTAAGAACTTCTGAATTTTCTACTCACAGCTTCTTCCCCACACCTGCCAAAAAATCCCACCCCTTCCCTGTTAGTTTTCTAAATACTCTAGGAAAATAAACATTCATTTCAAATATTTTCTGTAAGTCCTTTTTTTCTAGTTCTACATATCCAAAGATGTCTGCTTGTTCATGAATTCAAAAGTTCACCCAACGTTTTTGTTGATGATTCATAGAGAAATCTAAAACATAAAGAAAGAAAAAATTAGCTGCAAGAAAAAATAAAGTGACTTAATTATCCAAACGTACTTTTCTACAAAACACAACCTAAAACTGGTTTTCAACCAGATGCACTTAAAAAGAAAACTGAACTAACTTGTAATTATTTCACTAACTATTTCTCACATGTAAAAGGGAATAAAATGCCCTATCATCCCAGGGTTGTTATAAGGTGGAAATCACGAAATACAGACACCACGTATCATAATACGCGACATAGTTACTGAGCAAGCCCTCAGTAAATGGTGGCCATTATCATCTCCCCCATGGTTATCACCATTAGCATGAATACGGGATGGCTTTCCATTTATTTAGGTCTTCTTTAAGTTCATTCAGCAATGTTTTATAACAAGTCTTGCACTTGCTTAAATTTATTCCTAAGTATTTTATTCTTGTTATCATAAACGAAATTGTTTTAATTTCCTCTTCAAATGGTTCATTGCTAGTGTACAGAAATACGACCAATTTTTGTGTGTTGATTTTGTGTCCTGCAACTTTGACAAATTCATTTATTAACGCTTTTTTTTTTTTCTGGAGAGTCTCTATAGAGTTTTCTAGATACAAGATCATGTCACCTGAGGATAGAGATAGTTTTACTTCTTTCTTTCCAGTTTGGATACCTTTTATTTATTTTTCTGGCCTAATACTCTGCCTATGACTCCCACTACTATGTTGAATAGAACTGGAAAAGTGGACATTTGTGTCTTATTCCTGATCTTAGGGGAAGCATTGTTTTAAATGAACTATAAAAATAATGCAGTATCAAATTTATTTAAAAAAATTGCACACAGCAGAATAAATGAAAATGTATTTGTTAACACAAAAAGAGGCCAATCTTTTCAAGGAGTACTCCTTTCCTTCAAGGCCTAATAACAAGGTTTTATGTTGATGATGGTATTATAATACTATTAAAGTTGCCTATATAAACCCAAACCAAACAGCTTGCCGTCGAGTCAATTCCAACTCATAGTGACCCTATAGGATGAAGTAGAACTTCCCCACAGGATCTCCAAGGAGCGGCTGGTGGATTCGAACTGCTGACCTTTCGGTTAGCAGCCGAACTCTTAACCCCTGCGCCACCAGGACTCCTGCTTGTATATAGGCATAATTAGTACTGGCAAGTAATCTGTTTAAAATTTGATTACAATTCATTTACTCAGTAAGAAAAATTCATGATGTAACTCAAACTTCAGAAACATTAAGAAATACCTATAATTCTCTAACTTCAAATTACAAATTTATTGCTATTTTCATGCTATTTATGAAAGTAATAAATATAACATGTTGGACATTTAAATATACTAGTGCACTGGTGAATTCTTGTTGTTCCTCATGAGAAAATAAGCTCAATTTACAATATGTTATACTGGGTAAAGAGATTAAAGTGCAATGAAAAGCATTTTTTTATTTATCACCCAACAGTTGAGTCAACAAAATGCTAGGCTAACTCAGCTGGAAAGAAAAGTAGATTAATTGTTAAGAAAACTTTTGCTTCTAAAGTAATGTCCCATTGTCTAAAATATTCATTGTACCAAGGGGTTCCCAGAGTCTTAAAGACTTTTTACTTGCTTTAAAGTCTCAAGCCCAACATTAAATTGATAATACTTAAAAATACAGTCTTAAATCCTAATTGTCTCTCTTCCATTAGACTGATTTTTCAGACACTAGTTTCTCTACAGTATGCTTCTTGTATATTTAAGCAAGAAGCCAATATTTCAGAGTCCTACCCATTTATTCTTTAGGCTGCTTCCTCCTTAAAGGGTAAAACTTCTCCACCCGCCCCCGACCCCTGCCATCTGTGTAGCAGAGAAGATGGCACACAGTTGTAGAATCAACACATAGTTGTAGAAACAATGTACAAAAAAAAAATTACATGCCCCATGTTTAAATCCTTTTCTTTTCCATAGTGTAAGTCTTAAAATCCTCAAACTATTTTTTCTCTCAATGTGAACTAATATAATTCAAGTATTCACCTTGAAACTATGTGCAAGTGAAAATGAAGAGATTTCTAACAAGAAGCAAATGCCCCTTTCCTTGTATCTTCAGAAAAGCACACACAATTCTACATCCAAAGAAAAAACTGTCCTTGCAAATGTTATTTCTAACAAAGGAATCTTATAAAATGCTTGGACTTCTGAGATTGCTACTATGTCCTGTAAAAATAATTTACATAGTTGGTAATTCTGATTGATTTTCTTATTTATTAAGTTGCTGTCTGGTAAAACTGTTTAAATTCCCATGTTTTCAGAAATGTATAAAAACTTTCTACTTTTCTTTAAAGTCAGAAGCACACTGTCACTTCCCTCTTCTCCCACATGCTTTTTTTGTTTTGTTTGGACACACTCACAACCTTGGTACATCCAAATCCTACCTATCTACTTCAAGGCCCAGGTTCACTATTTTATCCAGGTAAGAGGTTAAGCCTTGTCCGCAGAGAGCACTGGAGGGACACTGGAGGAGGTAGAGGTTTTCTCTTTCGGGTTCTGGCTCCCACAGAGTGCATTTTTTCTCCACTGGGAGGCCTGTGAGGCTCTTAATGCTAGGTTCCTGCAGAGCACAGCTTTCTCCAGCACTTGGCTGCCCCCTTCCTCCTGCACGTGACTTGGGGGCATGGCAGCCGACACAGACAGCACAGGCGTGCTCCCCACACCTTGCCCTTACTTTAGTTGCAGGTGTGCACATGCACACTAGGGACCCTAGAGTGCTGGATGCTTAGAGCACAGCCACCAGGAAGCCATACAGAGAAATATACTAGACTCCTGCACAGGGTTCTAGCAATGTGAGGCAGTCAGAAGCTTCCTCCAGCATCTAGCCAGTTCTGAGGCACAGTACACCTCCCTGTGGACAGCCTTCCCCAAGACCCCAGAGAGCAGATTTCCAGCAAGTCCCACCAGCAAGGCACCTCAACAGCTTCTGCATCCAGACAGCCAAGGGGATCTGGATTGCAGTCCTGGCAGGGTATCTTTCTGGGGAGAGTATCTTCCTTGGGTGCTCTGTTTCACACTAGGAGTGGGGCCGCTTCTCTAACTCTCATAGCCAATTCTCCATTACTATAATCCCCTAGATTTTAACATAAATCTCTTTCTAACTGATGGAACAAGGTACCAAAAAAAAAAAAAAAAAAAAAAAAAATTCAGTAACGATATAGTTGAGGTAACACAATAAACTTGACCTAACTGACACAGAAGACTGCCCCCAATGTCTATAGAAGACATACTCTTTTCAAGTGCACATGGAATATTTATAAAACTGACCATACGCTCAACAAAAACAATAAATAAGGAAGAATGTTTTGCTATAGGCAAAAACATGGATGAACCGCATAAATAAAATGTGGGATGAAAGGAGCCTGACATAAAACAAAATTTCCTCTACTACTCAATTTATACAAATTGGAAACAGACAAAATTGATCTACGGTGTTACAGTCTGGATAATGAGCACTTTCAAGGGGTTGGAAAGGAGTAGTGACTGGGTGATGCATGTGGACACTTCTGGGATACCATATTTCTTGATTTGGGTGGTGATTACATTTTGGTAATTAAGTTGTATATTTATTATTTACATATCTGTCACATGTAATTTTAAATGAACAAATTCTATTTAAAATTAAAGCAAGAAAAAATACCTTAAGCCGCTTTATGCTAATAAATTTGAAAATCTAGATCAATGTATAATTTTATAGGAAAATATAAATCACAAAAATTTATTCAAGAAACATAGAAAATCAGACCAGACTAATAAATATGAAAGAAATGGGGAGGTGTTTTTTCAGGTACTATTCGACAGCTTCAAAAAACAAATACAATCTGCAAATTTTCTATAACACTGAAAATGGGAGAAAGCTATCAGCTAATGCTGACAGCAAAACTGATATAGGTTCCCCACATCACATACATAAATCAAAACAAACAGCAAATTTAAAAAACTACGATCAGTCTTATTTCAAGTGTAATGTAAAAATTCTCAAATAAAATATTAGCACATAAGATACAAATGATATTTTACAATAATAGAACCCATTATTCTAACAATGTTCAATATTAGCAGATTGACAAGGACTCTTTTATACCCCTACCATTAAACATCCCATAAATTTATATATCCAAAGGAGTTCCAGCTTTCTAGTAGCTAATATGCTTGAAACATCTTTGGAATTCTATTGGAACTGATTCCAGAGTTAGCTTATAGCTGTACAACAAAAATTAGTCTAATTGTTTTACAACTGAACTTGTCTACTTAGTCTTCTCTCTTCCTCTTTTCCTGTTATCAGTGCACTTGAGTTACTTGTGTGAATTTAACAGAGGGTTCTATTGGGGCTCATCTGAGAAGAGAGAATTTTTGACAACACTGAGGCAGGGAGAGGTGGATGCACAATAACACTCGGCTGAATATCTATCTGTGTGCTACTGTGAGTGGACGAAACTGAACAGAGTAAGTATACAGCCCAGAGAGGTGGATTTTTCTAACATAAGACAGGCTGCATGGCTTGACTACTGATACACAAGGTGACAATATTATCCAGAGTTCAGTAGCAGTTTTGAGATAATACACAATAGTAATTCAAGTGTTTTCCTGTGATACATGTTCAAATTAAAATATCACATACGTATTTTTTAAAACTACTGATTTTCTAAGCTCCTAACAACTGGGTAAAAGGCTACATGATGTTTTTTGTTTGTTTGTTTCTTTTAATTCTCAAACGTTATAGTTAAAGAAACAAGTTTCGTCACTTCATTTTTATGATGGTTCCCAGTAAAGCAAAAAAGGTCTCACTTTACTAATAAAAAGAATGATTAAAACTGGGATAATAGGTGATAAAAACGCCAACAGTAATCCTTCAGTAAGCAAGAATTTTTTAGTAAAGAAAGCATTAAATATATTTGTACCTATAACACAAGTTAATAGTCTATAAAAAGCTACACTTTAGATGTTTATTCATAAATTAGCAATTTATAATTTTGAAAGCCTTCTCCAAACGAGAAAGTAGTTATAGAAAGTGGTTTTCTAGGTATATATAAAACAACTAGTATTAGCTTACCTAGTTGTGTAACATTTAGCCTTATTTAGCCCATAAAACAGCAAGAAAAAAATTGTGTTTTTTGTGGCTGACCTGAGAATCAAACAATTTATAAAAGAGTCCACAGGAAAATACATCGCATGTCAAAACCAGTGTATTGCAGCAAAAACACCTGAATGGAAAACTAGCTCAAAGAACACACTCCTAGCCAGCAGTACCTGCGGCAACAATTTGCCACCCAGAAAGAAAGAAACAGTAAGTATTTCTTCTGAGGCTCTGGAGGATACGAACCTTTCTGATTCCTGATGTGGATGTTTGTGGACTAGGTATTTATATCTTAGGAAATGCCCATGGTTACAAAATCATAACCAACCACAAAAATTAATCTGTCTGTTGTTGTTAGGTGCTGTCAAGTCAGTTCCAACTCACAGCAACCTTGTGTACAACAGAACAAAACACTGCCTGTCCTGCGCCATTCTCACAATTGTTATGCTTGAGCTGATTGTTGCAGCTACTGTGTCAATCCTTCTTGTTAAGGGTCTTCCTCCTTGCTGCTGACCCTCTACTTTACCAAGCATGATGTCCTTCTCCAGGGACTGGTCTCTCCTGATAACATGTCCCAAGTATGTGAGATGAGGTCTTGCCATCTTTGCTTCTAAGGAGCATTCTGGCTGTACGTCTTCTAAAACAGATTCGTTAATTCTTCTGGCAGTCTGTGGTATATTCAATATTCTTTGCCAACACCATAATTCAAAGGCATCAATTCTTTGGTCTTCCCTATTCATTGTCCAGCTTTCACGTGCCAATGAGGTGACTGAAGACACCATGGCTTGGGTCAGGTTGCACCTTAGTCCTTAAAGTGACATCTTTGCTTTTAACATTTTAAAGGGGCCTTTTGTAGCAGATTTGCCCAATGCAATGCGTCATTTGATTTTCTAACTGCTGCTTCCATGGATGTTGATTGTGGATTCAAGTAAACTGAAATCATGGGCAACTTCAATCTTTTCTCCATTTATCATGATGTTGCTTAGTGGTCCAGTTGTGAGGATTTTTGTTTTATGTTGAGGTGTAATCCAAACTGAAGGCTGGATTACAGCGCTACATCTGTTTGCTGAAACATCTCAAATGGTATTCTATCAATTCCTGAAGACTTGTTTTTTGCCAGTGCCTTCGGTGCAGCTTGGACTTCTTCCTTCAGTACCATCGGTTCTTGATCATATGCTACCTCCTGAAATGGGTGAACGTCGACCACCTCTTTCTGGTACAGTGACTCTGTGTATTCCTTCCATCTTCTTTTGATTCTTCCTGCATCATTTAATATTTTCTCCGTAGAATCATTCAATATTGCAACTCAAGGCTTGAATTTTCAGTTCAGCTTCAGAAATGCTGAGTGTGTTCTTCCCTTCTGGTTTTCTAACTCTAGGTCTTTGTACATGTCATTATAATACTTTACTTTGTCCTCTCCAGCCATCCTTTGAAGTCTTCTGTTCAGCTCTTTTACTTCATTTCTTCCTTTCGCTTTAGCTACTCTACATTCAAGAGCAGGTTTCAGAGTCTCTTCTGACATCCATTTAGGTCTTTGCTTTCTTTCTTGTGTTTTTAATGACCTCTTGATTTCCTCATGTATGATGTCCTTGATGTCATTCCATAACTCGTCTGGTCTTTGGTCATTAGTGTTCAATGTGTCAAATCTATTCTTGAGATGGTCTCTAAATTCAGGGAGAATATACTCAAGGTCGTACGTTGGCTCTCGTGGATTTGTTCTAATTTTCTTCAGTTTCAACTTGAACTTGCATATGAGCAATTGATGGTCTGTTCCACAGTCAGTCCCTGGCCTTGTTCTGACTGATGATACTGATCTTTTCCATCATCTCTTTCCAAATATGTAGTCGATTTGATTCCCGTGTATTCATTCCATCTGGTGAGGTCCATGTGTATAGTCACCGTTTATGTTGTTGAAACAAGGTATTGGCAATGAAGAAGTCATTGGTCTTGCAAAAATTCTATCATGTGATCTCTAGCGTTGTTTCTACCACCAAGGCCATATTTTCCAACTATTGTTCCTTCTTCTTGGTTTCCAACTTTCTCATTCCAATCACCAGTAATTATCAATGCATCTTGATTGCATGTTTGATCAATTTCAGACTGCAGAGGTTGGTAAAAATCTTCAATTTCTTCATCTTTGGCCTTAGTGGTTGGTGTGTAAATTTGAATAATAGTTGTATTAACTTGTCTTCCTTGTAGGTATATTGATATTATTCTATCACTCACAGTGTTGTACTTCAGGATAGATCCTGAAATGTTCTATCTGATGGGGAATGCGATGCCATTCCTCTTCAATTTGTCATTCCCGGCCCAGTGTACCAGATGATTGTCTGACTTAAAATGGCCACCACCACTCCACTTCAGCTCACTAATGCCTAGGATATCGATGTTTATGTGTTCCATTTCATGTTTTTTCATAAACCCATACAAAGTAAGTGTGTATGCCCTTAATTTTTCTAGAGCAGAATTTTGCAAACCACCATTTTGTTTCTGAAGACAGAATTAGCAAGTAACTTAAACATATGCCTCAAAGGGCTTCTGTAAACAGAAACATTTCAATCCTTATGTGATGGTTAAGGTTGTGTGTTAGCTTGGCTGGGCCATGATTCTCAGTGGTTTGGCAGTTATATAATGATATAATTTGGCTGTTATGTAATGATGTAGTCATCCTCCATGATGTGATCTGATGTGATCTGCCAATCAGTTGTAAGGGGAGTTTCCTCAGGGGTGTGGCCTGCATACAATATATATATGGACGTTTTGGCAAAGCTCGCTTGCTTGCTCTGGATCCTGCATTTGGCTCATCATCACCTGACCTCTGCTTCTTGGGACTTGAGCCAGCGGCCTGCTGTATTGCCGGCTGATCTCAGGATTCATTAGCCTCTGCAGCTGTGTGCCAGCGTCTTACTGTCTGATCTTGGGTTCATAAGCCCATGTGGCTACATGAGTCTGGAGAAACCTCCAGCATTATACCTGACCCATGGACTTGGGACTTTCCAGCCTCTACAACAGCATGAGCCATTTCCTTGAGATAAATATATCTCTCTATATATACATATGCTTCACTGGTTTTGCTTCTCTAGAGAACTCAGCCTAAGACACCTTACAATCTTCAAGTTTTCTAACCACCTAGCTATAAATAGTAGAATGAAAACTCAATCTAAAATATACCTAAGCAATAACTACTTTGCAGATAATTGCACTACTTTACTAGATAATTTATCTAGCTCTTTACCTTTCAATGCTATCTTCTTGCAAAGTTATTTCCATGAATGTCTTTAGTTTTCTCTGAATGACGGCTCCAACCTCTTTCACTTTTGAACTCTTATGTTTACCTATTGGAAAATTATATAAAAGACAGAGAAAAGATTTTAACACAAAACAAACATACTTTCCTATACATTTGGGTATAATTTCTATAAAGCTGCGCTTCATTATACTTCCCTTTTGAGTTAACCTATCTATTGAACTGTGGAATAGTAATCATCTCCTTCACAGCAATGTTGTAAAAATCAAATGAACATATATGAAAACACCTAATTGGCTATACAGTACAGTTCAAGTGTACATTATCATATTAAGTGATTATGCTATCATAGACTTAATGCTCACATATGCCTCTATTAGAAAATGACAACTACCATTCAGACTCATTCAGTATTTATTAAGTACCTATTAAGTGCTAGGTACTCATCTGAATCCCAACCACCGTGTTCACATCTTTATACTTTCCCTCATTCTTTAGATATCAACTCAGTGGTCATGCCCTTAGGAAAAGTTTTTCCCTGATGCCCTGTCTAGGTCATTCTAGTTGAAAAACGTTATTAGAAATCTGCAGACATTCTATGTAATCAGGATTACGGAAATAACTTGTTTCTATAGGAGCACTATCGCCTATAATATATTACCTAAGAAAGTAATTGCCAACATCAGTAAAACTGAACAAAATATATAGAAACTTAAAGGTAGTCAACCTGCAGGATGTTACTGTATCTTTTACTGAGGTGAGCATTTTTAGGTACCTCCAATTATTTTTCCAGTACTATTTCAACTGGCTGTGATATTTGAAACAGGCAAAGTTAAGGCTTAAGAGAAACAGTAGTTACATTAAATATTACCACCAAAACATGTCAGCATTAGCAAAAATAAAATCAGATTTTAAAATATGACAGAGCAATAGAAATTCAACTCAGCAGCACAGAATGGGAATACTTAAATGGATTCAGTGGGGAAAGATGAAATATAGAAAGGAAATGCATTACAGAAAAGCTAGTGGTATAAAAACAAGTACAGAGTTAGCCAAGTAAAGGAAGCATAGGTAGAAAGCACTATGTTCAAAGAGCATAAAGAAGCATTGTATGAGAAAGGAATTCTAAGAAGCTTGGCATGACTGGGGAGTCAAACAGGGAAGTCGTCAAACATAAGGAGTTGAGTTTCCAAACATTCCATAACACTTTTGTGTGAGGTGTTGCTGTGAACCATCGAGTAGATTCCAACTCACAGCGACCTTATAGGACAGAGTAGATCTGCCCCATAGGGTTTCCTAGGTTGTAATCTTTAGTAGAGCAAGCTGCCAGGTCTTTTCACCCAGGGAGCCACTGGGTGGATTTGAACCACCAACTTCTCGGTTAGTAGCTGTCATGGATTGAACTGTGTCCCCCCAAAATATCTGTCAACTTGGCTGGGTCATGAATCCCAGTATTGTATAATTGTGTACCATTTTGTAATCTGATGTGATTTCCTTATGTGCTGTAAGTTCAATCACTATGATCTAATAAGATGGATTAGTGGCAGTTACACTGATGAGGTATGCAAGATTGGATAGTGTCTTAAGCCAGTCTCTTTTGAGATATAAAACAGAGAAGCGAGCAGAGACACATGGGAACGTCACACCACCAAGAAAGCATTGCCAGGAGCAGAGTGCGTCCTTTGGACCTGAGGTTCCTGCGCTGAGATGCTCCCAGATCAAGGGAAGACTAATGCATCACAAGGACCTCCCTCCAGAGCCAAGAAAGAAAAAGGCTTCTCCTGGAGCTGATGCCCTGAATTTGGACTTGTAGCCTCCTGGACTGTGAGAGAATAAACTTCTCTTTGTTCAAGCCATCCACTTGTGGTATTTCTGTTATAGCAGCAGTAGATGAGCAGTTAACCATTGTGTCACCAGGGATTCTTGTGTGAGGTATACCTGACAATATCCCAGATGATATGAGAGAAAATTTTACCAACCTTTATTAAGAACCAAAATAATATGTGTAACAGCTGTCAGACATACAATGCCTTCAATGTCGTCAGAAGTAACACATGCGTTTAGTTCATCTAAAAATGACCTGTAAAAAAGTAACAAATATCTGAAATTAATCAATAGTATACGCCTTAATACTTTATAGAAAGATAAATGTAGCCAACGTTCATCAACATGAGATGCTGATGAAACTTTTCCCATATTTTCACTATAAGTGTGCCAAATCATATAGGCAAGACATTAAAATCAAATGATGTTGCTAGAAAGAGAACATGAATGTTGTGGTAAGTAAATAAGCAACCCTTTATACCCACGATACACACAAAAAAGGATTTAATGTCGTGGAAAGGTAATTCATAGTTACCAAAGATGATGCTTTAAAAAATTTTAATTGAACATATTTGCTATTCAAGTTTCACTAGTGGTTATGTATCAGCAAAACTATTTCAATTTATAATCAGTCAGTCCTGTATGTGCACACACACAAAAAAGCTACAATTTTAGTCAAGTGGCATATGGTTGAAGAAATCAATTAACAGTTGTGTGCTGAATGAAAATTATACTGGTGTTCAACCCAGTTAAGTGTTTTGAGAGTATATATAATAAGAAGTATTTACTGCACAGACAGTATGCTATAGAATGCTAGGATGATAAACACTCATCAGAGTATTCAGGTGAATATATGTTAGAGAAAGTTAGAATTTCTCTTTGTATAAGTTTAATGTAAATATTTTTGATTGCTGATAAAATGAGAAAAAAAATTCTATGAAATATTTTTCTCATAGAATTGAACCTTTACAAAATGGTAAGATAAAAAGAATACAGCAAAGCTGCTGAGAGAGCTTAGAGCCACAGTGAAGTTTTAAGATAGTGAAGTGAAAACTACCTGACCACACTGGAAGTCTTTATTATTATTCCTATTAAACATCTTGAAAACGGTGGAAGGTCTGCAAGACACTCTGGTGGAGTAAGCTCTTCCATATCAGAAGCCTAAAAAAAAGTTTCAAATCAATGATTTGCAATTTGAGACTGGGTCAATTACTCATTTTATATTGCTTTGGGTTTTCTTCAACACTTGAGAAAGGTCTTCCAGAAACTTGAAACAATGCTCTTTATTAACTGTTGAAATGTTTACAATAATTATGAATAATTTATTATTATATGTGATTTTATGCTAAGCAAATTTAACAGGGTTTCTTAATCACAGCATTAGTAACGCTATGGTCTAGATAGTTCTTTGTTTCTTTGTTGTTGGAGCTATCATGTGCATTGCAGGATGTTTACAGAATCCCTGGCCTCTACCTACTAGATGCCAGTCATGCCCCCCAAGCTATTATAACCAAAAATGTCTCCAGGCATTGTCAAATGTGCCCTGGTGAGAAAAACAGCCCCCAGTTTGTACTGCTAGTCTAGATCCCAAGGACGAACTACTTGGATTTACACTCTTTATTACAGACCTTATAAAATTATATAGGTTGTTCATTATTTATGAATGAACTCCACATACAAATGTCTCCTGGAAAAGTCTAAATCCAGAATTCCTGTTCCAGGAGGAGGGTTATATCTTTGTTTTCCAATTCATAATACCCGAGGAGTGAATATGCACATCTCACTCTCTTATATCTCCACCACTTCTTTTGCCTAATTCTTGGTTATTTTAGGCAAGTCATTCACATAGCCATGACTAGACAATACTTCTAATAAGCGTTTATTTATTCTATTTCTAGGGTTCACAATACAAATCTGAATAATAAAGTCAATTGTCATATTATACGTGAAATTAAAAAACAAAAACAGAAACAACCAGTTGCTGCCAAGTAGACCTTGACTCATGGTGACCCCCTGGTGTTCGATAGCATTTTCATGGCTAATTTTTGGGAAGTAGATAACCAGGCCTTTCTTTCCCAGGCACGTCTGGGTGGACTTGAACTTCTAACCTTTCAGCTAGCTGCCAAGTGTGTTAACTGTTTATACCACCAAGGGTCTCCATATGTGAACTGCCATTCCCAAATACATGAAACTAAAATTGACAGAACTAAAGGAAAAACAGACAAATCCACAGTCACAGTGCTAAACATTTACTGACAGAGCAAATAAATAAATGAACAAACAAAATCGGTAAGAAGACAGAAGCTGGCAAAATTTCTCTGTAAAGTAAAATAGCAAATACTTAAATAAAACAGTAAATATTTTAGGGCTTGTAAGCAATTCAGTCTGACACAACTATTCAACCCTGTGGTTGTAGTGCAAAGGCAGCCACAGACAATCTGTAAACGAATGAGCATGGCTATGTACCAATAAACTTCATAAAAACATACGGCTGATCCCTAATACAGGAGAGGCCTGAAAAACACTATCAATCATCATGACCTTATAGACATTTATAGAACTCCACCCAACAAAAGCAGAATGCACATTCTTTGCAAGTGAAACCTTCATGAACAAGGACCATATGCTGGGCCAAAAAAGAAGCCCCAATAAATTTAAAGGATTGGTATTAGAGAATGGTATTAAATTAGAAAAAAAAATAAGTTAACCAGAACATTTTCTAATATTAAGAAATGACACGACATACTTCTAAATAACCCATGAGTCAAAAAAAAAGGCATAAGGCAAATTTGATCATAGTTTAAACTGAATGATAACGAAAACACGTCATGTCAAAATATGTAGGATGAAGCTAAAGAAGGCCACAGAGGGAAATTTATACCTTTAAATGACTATATTAGAGAATAAAAAAAGTTGTTAGGTCAATAGTTTATGCCTTCACTTTAGGAACACAGAAATAGAAGTGAAAATTAAATCGTAAATAAGAAAACAGGAAATAATAAAATAGCATAAAGCAATGATATAGAAAACAGGCAAAAAAATGGAGAAAATTAAAGTAAAAAATTGGTTCTTTTTTAAAAAAATGAAATTGATAAAACCAAAACAAAAAATAATCAAGAGAAAGAGACAAAACACAAATTACCAAGTTCAGAAATGAAAGCCAGAACATCACTATCTTACAGGTATTAAAAAGGATAATAAAGAGAGAATATGAACAAGTTTATGCAAACAAATTTGTTAACATAAATGAAATGGACAAATTTCTTGAAAAATACTATGTACCTAAAGGAGACTGGAGAAACCTCGGGAATATGGTCCCCAGACACCCTTTCAGCTCAGTGGTAAAGTTACCTCCGAGGTTCTCTGTTCAGCCTGGGAGTGGACAGCCCCGGAAAACCAAATGAGACTAACGAGGTACAGGAGTCCAGTGACAAGGGCCAGAAGGCAGAAGGGGACAAGG